CAAACCGGCTGAATCCTCAACTTCCACAGCAACCACCTCAACGTCCACAAACAAAGCTGTATTAGGACACTATTTAAACCGGCCACCACGCCCTGCAACAAGCCAGAACTATGCAGGAAAGAGGAAGAGCACTTATATAAAATCTTTGCTATGAACAGATATCCTGCAACTTTATCTGCAGGTACCTACTGACTAGACAACAACAACAGGACACAATACGCCCTAACACACTGGCCACACTGCCCTACATCAAGAACATATCACAACTGATGAGAATCCTACAACCACTAGGAATGATGGTAGTACACAAGCCTGTAGCCATGCTACGACAAACATTCAGAAGGATTAAAGACCCCATTCCCACAACATGCAGAACCAACGTAGTTTACAAAATACCATGCAACGACTGCCACAAGCATTACATCAGACAGACAGGAAGGAAACTAGCCATCAGAATACACGAGCATCAGCTAGCAGCAAAATGACACGACAAACTTTCTTTAATATCAGTACACTTGGACAATGAAGGCTATTAGTTTACCTGGGACAACTTAACCATAATAGCCCAAGCCAAACATAGACATGCACGGGAATTCCTAGAGGCATGGTTCTCAGCCCATAATGCAATCAACAAACATGTAGAATTGGACCCCATATACAAACCCATACAGAACAAAACCGGAAATGACACTTCTCATGATAACAGACCGGACAGTATAAATTCCAAGTGGGGTAGGACAACATCGCTTCATCAGAGGCCTCACTGATGATGTTACCTAGCATGGTGACAAAACGTGTGAATGAAAACAAGCCAGCTCGGTGAGCATGTTACTTTAATTTATTCTTTTTTATATTTGCAGCAAAAAAGCTGGCTACAGGAGCTTCTGAAAGAAGGTCAATCTTCTGTAACTGGGACTTTTGGAACTGACACTGGACCAGGATTCAGATCTCGTTCAGTTGATTCACTTCATTGGGAGCCCTTCTTGAAAAGTTCTTCCACATCTTCTGCCTCATTAACTTTGGATTTTCTTTCAGAAGTTTGTCCTTTAGTTTATACACAGACATTAGGGCGGCACGGTGGCTCAGTGGTTAGCACTTCTGCCTCACAGTGCCAGGGACTTAGGTTCAATTCCACCCTGGGGCGACTGTCTGTGTGGAGTGTGCACATTCTCCCCGTGTCTGCATGGGTTTCCTCTGGGTGCTCTGGTTTCCTCCCACAGTCCAAAGATGTGCAGGGTAGGTGGACTGGCCATGCTAAATTGCCCATAGTGTCCAGGGATGTTTAGGTTAGGTGGGTTAGACATGGGAAAATGCAGGGGTAGGGGAATGAGTCAGGGTGGGATGGCTGTTCCCACACTGTAGGGATTCTACTGAAATAAGGCTAGAATTTATCAGTCACGTACTTCTTCAGTTCATATCTTTTATTATTTCCTGCTTCGGTATAAAGTCACATTGCTCTGGTGCTTTTATCGAATTGTTACATTTCTTTATAATATCATCTATGAGTACTTTCTGTACCTGTTCTGGATCCACATCATCCATCACTGTTTTTATCTTGCCCTGACACCCATGTGTGCAATCTCTTTGTCGGTGACAGAATGCATGATGGGAACATTGTTATCAAAATTAAGCACTTCTTTGATGTCCTTAGCCATGAGCTTGTTCACACATTCCAAATATTTAAAGCTTGTGTACTCAAGGAGCTGGTTTATAATCTGCTCTTCCTTTGCTCACAGGAAAGACTTCAAAGTCTTCTTCAATACTGTAGTCTTCATTGAACATACTAAAGGCCAATGCATTTGTCAAGGTTGTTTCATCAACAAAGCCTCAGGTATTATCTGATGTATAGAGGGTATCCATAAGTGTAAACTTCTTTTGAAAGCTTGCCATCCTAAGTCTCTATTTACAGCACTAAATGTGCTATTCATGAAGGAGTCTTTATGTTTATATTTCAAGGGCTGCAGAATGCCTTGGTCCATAGGCTGAATTAATGATGTTACATTGGGCAGAAGGTAAACAATGAAAACATTGTTCTTCACCAACAGTTCAGCAGCTGGATATGAGGAACCGTTATTCAGGAGCAATGTGATTTCACAGTGGTCTTGAAGTCCAGCTGCCTGACAATGTGAACCTGCCTCTGATACAAAGTAGTAGTGAAACTAATCAGTAAACATTTCCCTGGTTACCCAGGCCTTCTTATTGGCATAGTAGTGAACTAGTAATGTCTGAGTTATTTTGAAGCACCTGGAGTTTCTGCTTTTCGCAATTACAGTCAATTTATATGTGTGTGTGCCAGCTACGTTGACACATGCGAAGACAGTTAAATGATTTTTGGCATCTACAACATCTCTTGGCGCTTTCTATTCAGTTGTTGTTAGCATTTCCTAAGGATGTATCACCAGAACAGACTAGTTTCTTTTGCATTGTATTTTGTTTAGGTGAAAGATTATACTCCAATATTAGCTTGGTAAACTCAACAATAAAATTTTCTGCAGTCTCATGGTCTGCAGATGCCTTATTACCACAAATTTAAAAAAAATTCGATACCATGACGCTTTTTGAATTTCCGCAACCAGCTTGTTGTGTACTCATGTTCACTTCAAACTTTAAATCTTCGAGGTACATCTTGGCTTGTTTCATGATCAATGGACCAGACAATGGAACCTTTTCACTTTGCTGACAGATCCATTCTGACATAATAGAGTGCATTGTTTTTTTTAAACCGATATAGTTTTTCCTATTGATTGTTAATTGTTGAGATCTACTTTCACAATAAAATTTCAACAACTCATTTTTCTCTTTCTTTAAATCATATATGCTGATGACACCTGCCCAATACTCCTCAGTCCGTTATTTCACAGATGTTTTGCAGTCAAGTCTTTGCAACACTTCCATTTTCGCTGCTATTAATAATGAATGCTGCTTCCTTACACCATCTATATGAGTATTTAATGGCCTTTCTGACATGTTTAGTTAAAAAAAAAACCGAGAAGCACCAAAATCTCAAAGGAAGGCAAGCATATGTGACTATTAAATGTAATTAAAATGGACTTCAAATCAGAGCCAGTGGAGACACTTGGCTGAAATGTTGAAAGTGAAAACAAATGACCCGACACTGATCCTGGTAGGTTTTCCAGCACTACTACAGTACCTGTAATGCAACACTGAGGTTCTGTTCGAAGAACAACTGCCAGTTGGTGTATGTGGGTCGCGTACTTCCCATGCAAATTAATGTGTGGGTGAATTTAAAAAAAAATTTTGGTTTTTTAGGTCATTTTGGTTTTCGAACATGCAGTTAAAGGATACCCAACCTGTATTATATGGGCGAGAGATATGATTGTCATGCTAAACAAACCTACTGGAACACAAAGGTTGCATGAAAAGAAATCTTGACATTGAAAAAAAATTTTTTAAATGGTGATGATGTCATACCATCAGCAAACTAAAAAGAACTTTGAAAAAAGTTGAAAGGCCAAACCGCAAATACATCCGTAAATGATGTTTTGTTGAAGGCTTAAAAAAAATCCACAATATAGGAGGGATGTGATAACACTGGAGAGGTGCAGGGAAAATTGAGAGGATGTATAAAATTATGAGGAGCATTGATAGGGTATACAAGAAGAGACGTTTCCCCTTGATGGGGGTATCAATGTCTGGGGGCATAGATTTAAGGTAAGGGGCAGAAGGTTCAGAGGAGATGTGAGGAAAACCTTTTTCACCCAAAGGATGGTGGGAATTTGGAACTCACTGCCTGTAAGGGTGGTAGAGGCTGAAACCCTCATAATATTGAAAAAGTATTTAGTAGTGCACTTGCGATGCCAAGGCATACAAAGCTGTGGGCTTTGAATAGTTAGGTGGTTGTTTTCAACTGGTGCTGTTCTGATGGGCTGATGGGCCTTTTATCTGTGTATAGGTCTCTATGACTTTCCCCATTGAGCAGCGAGAGGCCAATATGTATATATAAACATTTACATTTATTTTTATAGAATCCCTACAGTGTGGAACCTGGCCCTTCGGCCCAACAAGTCCACACCGAAACTCAAAGCATCCTACCCAGACCCATCCCCCTGTAACCCATCCAATCTACACATCCCCGAACACTATGGGCAATTTAGCATGGCCAATCCACCTAACCTGCACATCTTTGGGACTGTGGGAGGAAACCGGAGTACCCGGAGGAAACCCACACAGATGCGGGGAGAACGTGCAATCTCCACACAGACAGTCACCTGAGGGTGGATTCGAACCCGGGTCCCTAGTGCTGTGAGGCAGCAGTGCTAGCCACTGAGCCACCATGCCGCCCCATTATTTCATCATTGATATGCAATTTGCTATTCTCCCAACAGCTGCGCAGAAATTAGATGGTGAAAATTCCTGACATGATATTCAGAATAGTAACCTGACTTTGGCTCACCACTTGCTCTTTCAGACCTAGATCAGTGCCAACATGGGCAGCACCCCGCATGCAAGTCAATCCAACAAGAATCTACGATCATCACTGGCAACGTAGTGTGTTAATTCCTCAGTCTGACATTTCCAGAGCAATTACAATGAACTGAGCAGGGCAGCTGTCGACAGTCAGCATCCGACCAGGCGCATGGCTGGACTTTAAAGGTGATGTCGGCACTGAATCCTAAAAGGTCCTGGCAGTGGCCAGTACTTCCACTTGCACTGAGTGGGAGATTATGAAGAGCACTGCACAGCAGTGGTGTGGTGATTAGGTACTGAGGCGAGTTTGGGAAGATAGTGTTAGAATATGCTCAGACAGAAACCTTTTATGAAACTTGCCAAAATTGTCACCTAGCTGATTTTACAAAGATTCAACTCACTGTGTTCTGTATAAAAACAGCTAGTTGCATTGAATTGCTTCAGTTTAGAAATCACAAAGCATCACTGATAATGGTGTGGAAAAGGTATTTTGCCATTACAAATGCAGCCAATAGTTTGTAGTGAAATAGAGAATGGACGATACACAATGGGTTATGGTAACCATTACTTACAATTCTAGTATGACTATATAGTTGGATGGAGTTTCAAAGGTATCCAGAAGGCTAACAATCTGGGGATGCTGGAGATTCTGCATAATTCCAAGTTCATGTGTAACCTGATCCCGTTTCATCATTTTTTTGTTGATGTACTTCGCAGCTACCTCTTGTTTAGTTCCTTTTTGGTCACATCTTTTAACCACAGAGAACCTTCCTCTGAAACAAAAACAAATTATTACCAATTTAATAATACTCTGTATTTCATGGGAGAACATACACACAGAAAACCATTGTCTTCATTGTGTTTTTTGAAACAAGTGGACTTTAAATATTTGGGAATATATTATAATTCACAGAGTTCATAGATCATAGAACATCATAGAAGACCACAGAATCCCTACAGTGTGGAAACAGGCCCTTCGGCCCAATAAGTTCACACCAACCCTCAGAGCACCCAACCAAACCCACCCACCCTATAACGCACCTAACCTACACATCCCTGAACACTACAGGCAATTTAGCATGGCCAATCCACCTAACCTGCACATCTTTGGACTGTGGGAGGAAACTGGAGCACCCGGAGAAAACCCACGCAGTCACGGGGAGAATGTGCAAACTCCACACAGCCAGTCACCTGAGGGTGGAATCAGACCCAGGTCTGTGGCGCTGTGAGGCAGCAGTGCTAACTGCCGTGCTGCCCATAGTTGTGAGTTTAAATTTCAAACCAGTATTTGAACCTAAAATCAAATTGATATTTCAGTCTCAAGAGAATTCTGCATTGCTAGAGATTGTAATTTTTGAATGATGTGGCAAGTTGTTCTGTCTCTTCATTCAAGTATACATTAAATATTTAATTAGGGAGTTTGCATAGTGTCCTGGTCAACATTTATCTCATTGCTGTTATGGAATTTGAGGAGGACAATTTGAGGAGTGAATGTGCAATGATCTTAACATTCACCATGTATAAGAGCAAGGATGTCTTGCTACAGTTTTACAGGGCTCTGGTATGACTGAAGTACGACGTGCGATCTTGATTTTCATATCTAGGGATACATATTTGCCCTGGAAGTAGTTCAGTGAAATTTTATTCAGATGGTCCCTGGAATGAGAGAGTTGTCCTCTGATGAGAGGCTGAGTAAAATCTGGAGGCAGCACGGTGGCTCAGTGGTTAGCAATGCTGCCTCACAGCGCCAGGGACCCAGGTTTAATTCCACCCTTGGGCGACTGTCTGTGTGGAGTTTGCACATTCTCCCCGTGTCTGCGTGGGTTTTCTCAGAGTGCTCTGGTTTCCTCCCACAGTCCAAAGATGTGCAGGGTAGGTGGATTGGCTATGCTAAATTGCCCAAAGTGCCCAGTTTAGGTTAGGTGGGTTAGACATGGGAAATACAGGGGTAGGGGAATGGGTCTGGGTGGGATGCTCTTCGGAGGGGCAGTGTGGACTTGTTGGGCTGAATGGCCTGTTTCCAAGTTGTAGGGATTCTACGCTTCTAAACTGAGCCTATACTCTTTGGATTTAGAATAATATCATGGAAACATACCGGCCTCTTAAAGGAGCCTGACAGGGTTTTTGCTGAGAGATACTCAATATAGTTTTGTTTTAGGGCTTTCTGAGTTTTCATCAAAGGGCGAGTTTTTGGTTTTTGGCTTTTGGGGTATGTTTTGAGTCTCAACAATTCCATTAGATGACTGGGTTGAGGCTGGTTTAAAAAGTAATCCCATATTAAAGATTCTCTGGACAAATGGGATGATAAATACATCTCAATTCCATATCAAGCTTGAAACATGCTCTAACTTCAAACAAGAATTTTGAATTCTAACAAACTCTAACATATAGGAATGAGGGGAGAAATGGCTGAGGTTGATTGGATGAATAGATTAAAAGGCATGACAGTAAATAAACAGTGGGAAACAACTTAGACACAACTCAAAATATTCAACAAAAATACATTCCATTAAAAAATAAGAAAATCCCAGCCAAAATAGATTCATCTATGGCTTATTTTAAGGAAGTTAAGCATAATATTAGATTAAAAGAAGATGATATTAAAGTTGCAGGTGTTAGTGTTAAGGATTGAATACACTTTTGGTCATCCTTTGCTGGTTTCTAAAGACTAAGCAAAAAGGAAAAACTCAGAATGAAAGTAGATGAGCCAGGAATATAAAAATAAATTGTAACAGCTTTGAGGAGTATATAAAAGAAACGAGTAGCTAAATAAAAAGTGATTCCTTGGAGGCAGAGGCAAGAAAATTTATCAAGGGAAATCAGGAGATGGAAGAGATATTGAACAAATATTTTGTCTGTTTTTATAATAAATGCAGAAACTACACATTGTTAAAAAATAACCAAGAGTATAACGAGTGAGGAACGCGCTAACATTAATATCAGTGGAAATAATAGCATGCAGAAACTTATGATACTGAGAATCCAGAAGTCCCCAGGAACCGATGGTCTACATTCAAGAGTTCTAGAAGGTTTTGTGCAGTGTGTGAATGCACTCATTATGAAATGCAACTCCAGTAGCAAAATTCTCTAGATTTTAGAATGGTTCCAGTGGTTTGGAAGTTAACAAATGTAACAATTCAATTCAAGAAAGGTGGGACTGAGAAAATAGGAAGCTACAGATCAGTTAGCCTGGTGTTAGTCATTGGGAAAATACTGAAAGCTCTCGTTTCAGAAGTTTTAACAATGCACCTAGAAATCATAGTACAATCAGACAAAGTCAATGTGATTTTAAGAAAGCAAAGTTGTGTTGGACACTTTTACGATATTTTTCAGGATGTAATTAGAAGGGTAGGTAAAGAAGACCAGTCAATTAAGTATACAAATAGTTTAAAGTTTTTGAGAAGATTTGTAGCTGGGGTTGTGGATGAGATTGTAGACTTGCTCGCTGAGCTCGTGTGTTTGATTGCAGATGTTCTGTCACCCTGCTAGGTAACATCATCAGCGCGCTTCCAGTGAAGCTTTCAGAGGCGAACTGTCTGAAATCAAACACACCGTCTTGGCGAGCAAGTCTACAACCTTATACAAATAGTTGCTTAATAATAAAGAACATGAATACTGCTGAAAAGACAGGTGTCATTCCTGAAGCTGGTCATCTTGCATTCATCAGGCCATATGCAAGAATACAGAATTTCAAACAATCCTGATAATTTATATTACAGGAAACAAGGGCAACTATAAATTAAAAGAAATTGGAACAGGAGTAACTGAGATAACAAGGTGTACAGCTGGATGAACACAGGCCAAGCAGCATCAGGGGAGCAGGAAAGCTGATGTTTTGGGTCTGGACCTTTCTGAAGAAGGGTCCAGACCCGAAACGTCAGCTTTCCTGCTCCTCTGATCCTGCTTGGCCTGCTGTGTTCATCCAGCGGTACACCTTGTTATCTCAGATTCTGCAGCATTGGCAGTTCCTACCATCTTGGAACAGGAATGAGCTGTTCACATCCTTACACCTGTTCCGCCATTCATTGGATCATGACTGATCTGACAATCTACTCATCCACTTTCCTCTATTTTCCCCATAATCCTTGATTCCCCTACTGATCAAGAATATATCTACCTCAGTGTGACAATACTATGGCCTTAACAGGTGTATTTTATTCTGTTTTTATGGCAGAGTTCCAAGCAGTCTACTATAGCCACTAGAATAAACAGATTATGAGGCCTTGGGTTTTTAAAAAAATGTCAGAACAATAGAAGCAGCCTGAATGGGTCAAGCTCCCACAGAACCAAGATTTTCAGTTTTGGCTTTCAGCAGTTGCTGTTGGGGTCTTGAAGAATTGGAATCTGTTTTTGCCTGCTGGTTCTTGACAAGTTGTAGATGGAGAATCATGAGGCGATTGTTGGTACCAACAGAGAGCTCCGAGAGTTGATGAGTTCATTCTTGATGGCAAATCCAATTCCATGTATGCTGGGTTGATTATTGGGTTTTCCTCTTCAGAAGAAGGTGTAACCATCAACTTCTTCCCTCAGCTGTTCTTTGTCTGTTCTTAGGGTCTCCTACAGGACTGAGGTCAGGAGGAACTTCTTCACCCTAAGGGTTGTGAATCTGTGGAATTCCCTGCCCAGTGAAGCGGTTGAAGCTACCTCGCTGAATGTTTTTAAGGCAAGGCTAGATAAATTTTTGAACAGTAAAGGAATTAAGGATTATGGTGAGCGGGCGGGTAAGTGGAGCTGAGTCTCAAAAAGATCAGCCATGATCTTATTGAATGGTGGGGAAGGCTTCAGCGGCCAGATGGCCTACTCCTGCTCCTAGTTCTTATGTATGTTATGTTCGTATGTACAGGCCAGCGATATCAATGTGGTAGTGCCAGAGTTTATCGGCAACAAGGGCAGTTGTTAGCTCTGGACAATTGTTTTGCTTGTTATCCACAAAAGTTCATACATTCCAGGTTCTGAGATTGAGCTTGACTTTAATTTTCAGATTGCAGGTAGATGAACCTGCTAGACGTAGCTTTCCAGCCAGTTTGGAGACAGAACAGATTATTTTTAGGGCGCCTTTTCTAGCCCATTCCCCATTTGGGGTGAGCAGAGTGGATGCTGAAGAGGGTGACTGAGTTGTGAAAAAAGCTGCTGAAATGCTCTCCTGTTCTTATTCTAAAGAGGAAAATCATGGAGTCAAACACCACTGCCTACATTCTGGTCCAAAACCAGGAACTTCCAGATCTCATAATTCTGTCCTTGTCATCTCTCGCCAATCACCACAGGATTTGTGTTGTGTGTGTGGGGGGATTGAATTACTCTAGGTAGTTGCCTTGTGTGAGCATCTTTTAATGCGGGAATCCTATTGCATATCAGCAGATACTCAGTCCATGATAGAAGGCAGACCCAATTCCAATGTCAAGGAAACCTCAATGACTGGGGATCACTCGACCTCTGCAGCCTCCATCCATCATTGCAGCCATTGGTACCACCCAAATACCTTCTGCCAGGATTGCCACTGAGGACTTGTTTTGGATTGCTCTTGTCTTGTTCCTCCACACCGAACTTTCTGTCATGGTGGCCCTGCCAGGAGCTGAGAACTCCTAATGGCATCACTTCTGGGATCAACAGAACACTCAAGACTCTCCACTGTAGCAAGATGGCAATCCACGGACAGGAAAAAGGCAGGACAGATGAAATTAATGGGACTGAACATTGACAAATACCCAGGACCCAAGGATCTACAGCAAGATGTTGAAAGAGGTGGCTCTGGAGGTCGGGATTGCATTGGTGATCATCTTTCAAAATTCCATTCATTCTGGAGGTTGCAAATGTTGATACACTTTTAAAAAAACAGTATCTGCTAATATCGAGCCTAGTTGGGATTAGAATATTTAGGTGGTTGTCCTGACTTGTGTTTAGCCTAAATAAGGGGAATTACAATTAAATGAGGATATAGTTAGCTAAAATGAACTGGGTGGATAGATTATGAGGAAAGACAGTAAGCAAGTAATGGCAGACATTTAAGGAGGTAATTCATGACTTTCTGCAAAAATATATCCCGTAAGGAGGAAAGATTCTAACAGAGGGATACACCAACCAAGGCTAACCAAGGAAATTAAGGAGAATATTAAGTTAAAAGAAAAAGCATAAAAGGAGGCAAAACTCAGTGACACCCCTGAAGACTGGGATAACTTTAGAATTCAGCAAAGGAGAGCTAAAAAGATAATAAAGAGAGAGAAAATAAACTATGAAGGCAGGCTAGCGAGGAATATAAAATCTGAGCAGAAGAGCTTCTTTAAATATATAAAACTGAAGACAGAAGTCAAAGTGAACATAGGCCCTTTCGAAAATGAATCTGGGGATCTATGGGAAACAAGGAAATGGCAAGGTGGCTCAGTGTTGCCTCACAGCACCCGGGTTCGATTCCACCCTAGGGTGACTGTCTGTGTGGAGTTTGCACATTCTCCCCGTGTCTGTGTGGGTTTCCTCCGGGTGCTCCGGTTTCCTCCCACAGTCCAAAGATGTGCAGGCTAGGTGGATTGGCCATGCTAAATTGCCCGTAGTGTTCAGGGATGTGTAGATTAGGTGGGTTATAGGGGGATGGGTCTGGGTGGGATGCTCTGTGGTTCGGTGTGGACTTGTTGGGCCAAAGGGCCTGTTTCCACACTGTAGGGATTCTATGATGATTCTATGACAGAGTTAAACAGATAAAAATAGATATCAGTCTTTATGGTAGAAGATTATACAAAGATCCCATTAATACTCAAGAATACTGTGGGTGGGAGAAATTAAGTACCATCATCATCGCTAGAAAAAATAGTATTAGGCAAACTAACGGGGCAAAGGCAGATATGCCCCTGGCTCTGACAGCTTGCACCCGAGGATCCTAAAAGAGGTAGCTATAGAGACTGTGGATGCACTGGTTGTAATTTTCCAAAATTTCCTTACATTCTGCAGAAATTTCAGAGGACTGGAAAACTGCCATTCCCTATTCAAAAGGGAAAGGAGCAAAAAGTGGGTAAATATAGACCAATTAGCTTAATGTCAAATTGCTGGAAAAATACTGGAATCAATTATCAAAGTCGTAGTACCACACATTTGGAAAATCATAATCTAATCAAGTAGAGTCAGCATGGCTGCATGAAAGGGAAACACAAGAAGGAAGTGCAGCAGGTAATCAGGAAGACTAATGGAATGTTGAACCTTATATCATGAGGTTGGAGTATAAGAGTAGGGACATCTTGCTGCAAATGTAAAATATGCTGGTGAGATCATACCTGGAGTACTGTTACTGTGAGCAGTTTAGCTCCTCTTAGTTAAGGCATGATACTATTTCATTCCAGGCAGTTCAGTGAAGGTTCATTAGGAAGAAGGGATTGACTCTACACATAATAATTTAAAATAACAAGAGGTGATCTCATTGAAACATATAGGATTCTTAAGGGGCTTGACAGGGTATATGATGAGAGGTAGACAGATGGCTGGAAGAACACAGCAGGCCAGGCAGCATCTGGAGGAAGGGAGCAGTCAACCTTTCAGGTATTACCTTTCTTCCGGACTGGATGCTGAGAGGATGCTTCCCCTCAGGGTCTAGGGACAGAGAATATAGTCTCAGAATTAAAGGGTGCCAGTCTACTACTGAGATGAAGAGAAATTTCTTCTTTTAGAGCTTTGAGTGTGTTTAGCACTCCCTGCCATTGGGTGCTGTGGGTTCAGGGTTCTTCTGTACATTTAAGGCTGAGATAGATGGATTATTGATCAGTAGGGGAACTGAGGATTATGGGGATGAGGACAGGAAATGGATGTTGGGAATATCAGATCAGCTGTGATCCTATTAAATGGTGAAACAGGCTCAAGGGGCTGAATGGCCTAATCCTGTTACTATTTCTTATGGTCTTACGGTCTTGTATCTGCAACTGCACATGTGCACTAATCTGGAAATGTACATGCGATGATTTCAGATCCAACATGTCATCAGAGATAAATTTCTTCATGCAAAGACTGCACTGAGGCTTTCATGGGGGTTTGCAGGGTGATTTTCCTGATACCCTTGTGTATTTTGAACGTCGGATTATTATGTTATCCCTTGTGGGGCAGTCTACAACATGGGGGTACAGTGTCAGGTTGAGTGGTATATTGTTTTGCACCAAACTGAGGAGAAACTTGTGCACTCAAAGAATTATGAACATTTCGAATTCCCTACCAACAGAGTTATGGATATTCCTTCGCTGAGTACATTTAGAATTGAAATAGAGACATATTTGGTCTCTCATGGAATCAAGGGATATGGAGAATGGACAGACGAAATGTAACGAGAGAAAGGGTTGGCACTCAAGGACAAAGGAGGGAAGTTATGCGAGGAGTCAGAGAAAATGAGTGAGATTCTTAATGAGTACTTTGCGTCGGTATTCACCGAGGAGAGGGAGATGACGGATGTTGAGGTTAGGCATAGATGTTTGATTACGCTAGGTCAAGTCGGCATAAGGAGGGGGCAAGTGTTGGGTATTCTAAAAGGCATTAGGGTGGACAAGTCCCCAGGTCCGGATGGGATCTATCCCAGGTTACTGAGGGAAGCGAGAGAGGAAATAGCTGGGGCCTTAACAGATATCTTTGCAGCATCCTTGAGCACGGGTGAGGTCCTGGAGGACTGGAGAACTCCTAATGTTTAAGAAGGCTGGCAAGGATAATCCAGGTAATTATAGACCAGTGAGCCTGACGTCAGTGGTGGGGAAGCTGCTGGAAAAGATACTGAGGGATAGGATCTATTTAAATTTGGAAGAAAATGGGCTTATTAGTGATAGGCAGCATGGTTTTGTGCAGGGAAGGTTATGACTTACCAACTTGATAGAATTCTTTGAGGAAGTGACAAAGTTGATAGATGAGGGAAGGGCTGTGGATGTCATATACATGGACTTCAGTAGAGCGTTTGATAAGGTTCCCCATGGTAGGCTGATGGAGAAAATGAAGTCGCATGGGGTCCAGGGTGTACGAGCTAGATGGATAGAGACCTGGCTGGGCAACAGCTGACAGAGAGTTGTAGTGGAAGGGAGTTTCTCAAAATGGAGAACTGTGACCAGTGGTGTTCCACAGGCATCCGTGTTGGGACCACTGTTGTTTGTGATATACATAAATGATCTGGAGGAAGGTATAGATGGTCTAATTAGTAAGTTTGCAGATGACACTAAGATTGGTGGAGTAGCAGATAGTGAAGGGGACTGTTGGAGAATACAGCAGAATATAGATAGATTGGAGAGTTGGGCGAAGAAATGGCAGATGGAGTTCAATCCAGGCAAATGGGAGGTGATGCATTTTGGAAGATCCAATTCAAGAGTGAACTGTATGGTAAATGGAAAAGCCCTGGCGAAAATTGATGCACAGAGAGATCTGGGTGTTCAGGTCCATTGTACCCTGAAGGTGGCAACGCAGGTCGATAGAGTGGTCAAGGCGGCATACGGCATGCTTTCATTCATCGGACGGGGTATTGAGTACAAGAGTTGGCAGGTAATGTTACAGCTGTATAGGACTTTGGTTCGAACACATTTGGAATACTGCGTGCAGTTGTGGTCGCCACATTACCAAAAGGATGTGGATGCTTTGGAGAGGGTGCAGAGGAGGTTCACCAGGATGTTGCCTGGTATGGAGGGCGCTAGCTATGAAGAGAGGTTGAGTAGATTAGGATTATTTACATGAGAAAGACGGAGGTTGAGGGGCGACCTGATTGAGGTCTACAAAATCATGAGAGGTATAGACAGGGTGGATAGCAAGAAGCTTTTTCCCAGAGCGGGGGACTCAATTACTAGGGGTCACGATTTCAAGGTGAGAGGGGAAAAGTTTAAGGGAGATATGCGTGGAAAGTTCTTTACACAGAGGGTGGTGGGTGCCTGGAATGCGTTGCCAGCGGAGGTGGTAGAGGCGGGCACGATAGCGTCATTTAAGATGTATCTAGACAGATACATGAATGGGCAGGGAGCAGAGGGATACAGATCCTTGGAAAATAGGTGACAGGTTAGGTAGAGGATCTGGATCGGCGCAGGCTTGGAGGGCTGAAGTGCCTGTTCCTGTGCTGTAATTTCCTTTGTTCTTTGTCTTTGTACTGCAGCAGAAGATCACCCATTATTATCTAGTGTAATGGAGCAGGTTTGAAGGGCCACATGGCCTACTGTTGCTCCTGTTTCTTATGTTCTTAAGCAGGACCACTCACTTTGTACAGAAGAAAACAGAAATCAGAAGATTTTATTCTTCTCAAAGAATAAAATAAAATCAAACGGAATGATGAGATTTAAAATGTTACCTGCCAATTTCTGCTATTTCAGTATAAATAGAATCAAAGTTGTCCTTCCAGATGACCCTTACTCCATCACTTCCAGGTCCTGAAAGATGAAGAAAATAATGCAGTTAATCAAGTGAAAACTAAAGAAGGAATCTAATCTCTGCTTCTGAAATATAAACAGGTTTGACCTCAAGCATTTGTTTTGGTTGGTGGTGGTGGAGGAGGAGGAGGTGGTGGAGGAGGACGAGTAAGAATGTGTTAACAGGTACTGAGAATATAGAACATTTAGCTCCAGATTTCGGGTTCTAAGGCTTTTGTGTTGCTACTTCTCAATATCATCTTTCATGTTCGTGAAAAGATATATGTTGTAGCAAGAAAAAAATTGCCTGGATTTTGTGTTACCAAATGAACATCGCTCACCAATCACTACGCTGACTGTTGCCTGCATAGCTTTTTGCCAGTTTTTGAACATAGAATTGCTGCCACTGGACATTGGATCTGGCCTCTAAAAGGGATCTGTGGTGTCTGCAAGCAGGACAAGAAACAACAAAGATCTTCAAACAAACCAGCATGAAGAATCCTCACTTGGATATGCAGGTCCTAATACTGGCAAAGTAGGTTTTTGTTAGCCAAAGTGTTGGGTGTTGGGAAACAGACCACAGCCTTGGCTCCCTATCAGGCAGAGTCTCTGGAGGAGAACACAGTCAGCCACATTTGTGAGAGTGCTGCAGGGAAAAGCTTCTACTTAGAGGAGCTAGGCACCAAATTAAATATCAGAACCTTGCAGGTAATCTCTAAATTATTACCCGAGTTACAAGAAAATTGGCATAGGGAAAATTAAAGAAATGTCTCAAATACTAATGAACAGAGGGATGTTGGGGAGCTTGTCAACAGATCCCTGAAGGTGGCACGACAAGTTAACAAAGTAGTAAAGAAGGCATAAGGGATTCTTGCTGTTATCAGTTGAGGCATGGATTAGAAGAGCAGGAGGTTAACGTTGGAGCCATACAGAACTATTGTGAGGCCACAGCTTGAATACTGCGTGCAGTTCTGATCATCACACCACAGGTAGTCCCCAGATTATGAATTGGTTCTGTTCTTGAAAATGCTTTTATGTCAATTGTCTATATATCAAATTTGGAACACAATACAATATAAAGTAGCTATTTGTCAGCATGAGAAAATATTTGCATGCTACAGTTTAAAATTAATCTTAATATGGGATCTTGTTCACAAGTATGAACATTTGTAAATTGGATATTCATAAGTTAGGAACCGCCTGTATAGAAATGATGCAATTACAATGGAGGGGCTGCAGAGAAGATTCTCCAAGATGTTGCTTGGGATGAAGCATTACAGCTACGAAGACAGGCTGGATTAGCTCGGATTGCTTTCTTTGGAGCTGAGCCGGTTGAGAGGTAACCTGATAAAGATGTACAAGATTATGAGGGGCATGGACAGGGTGGAGAGAAACTAGCTGTTCCCCTTAGTTGAAGGGTTAAGAACATTTTTAAAGTGAAAGGCAGGAGATTTAGAGGGGATTTGAAGAAATAATTTTTCCACCCAGAGGGTGATAGGGGTCTGGACTGCACTGCCTGAGAGTGTAGTTGAGGCGAGTAACCTTACAACCTTTAAAATGTACTTGGATGAACAGTCTTTTGTATCCAAGATTTGTATCTAGGTACCAGTACCTAAGATGGCGCTATTAAAGGCAGCCATTGTAAAATCTTTTCACTGTGACAACAAAGGATATTCTATTTGACATTCTAGTCTAATGTCACAATATTCAAGGCTATGGGTCTAGTGCTGGGAAAGTGGGAGACTGCATGGGCTGAAGGTCTTTTTCTGTACTGTATAATTCTATAAAATTGGTATGGCAGAAGTGAGTTCTGTCTCAAAGGGCACTGGCTGCAGAATTGTGGAAGTGGAATTTGACAGAGATCTGAAAGTAGCATGAGCAGTTTAGCTGATACAAAGATTATATTTCCAGATTTAAATAAAAAACTAAATTTACATGCTGAAATTCCACAGTCTGAATTTATTATTAGTTTGGTCTTTATTATTAATGTAACCACTACATTACCAGACTCCTGCACTACTACCAGACCATTAATATGTCAGCAAAGAGTCCAGGGTCTAACATGAAACTAGATTTAAATTCCCAAACTTATCTACCTGTGGCTAAACAATAATAGGTAATGAACTTCTATTTATTCCAATAGACACTAATAATATGAAAATTGCTGAAGTCAATGACTAGTCAGCAATACAATGAATGAGAACCCAGAACAACCTATTAAAAGGCCTCCTAAGAAACTGATAACAAATACCATAGAATTGTTATGGAGAACAATTTAGACAAATTAGATTCTTAGATTATGAAGATGACAAAATGTCAAAAATCTCACCTAGAACTCGCAGGATGGCAGAAGACGAGGCTGATCCCACATCGTTTACAGCTACACAAGTATAGGTGCCATCGTCGTCAGTGGTCACATTCAGTATTTTAAGTCTAGCTTCACCAGAATCACTATAACCGCCATAAAATTCAAACAAGTCATATTAATTAAAAAATAATTCTGAAAATCAGCAACATATTTCTTCATAACAGATTGTTTCACCTTCACCTGTATGTAATGCTGTTATGACCATCATTGGTCAAAATGCTGTGGTCTGGGGATTTCCATGTTATTGTAGCTTTGGGACGACCACAGACCTTGCATTTCAGAGTCACAGTTTCACCTGTCTCACAGGTCACATCAGTCAGTGGGTTGATGAATTCTGGTGGAACTAGGAGAAACATGTAGTTTATAGAATAAGTCAGTAAACATAAAACATATAAAAGGCTGCAAGAAAAACAATGTACTTTACAACAGAGACACATGACTATGTTGGATGGAAGGCACACTTTTGTATGAATAAATTAATTACAAACCAGCTATATCTTTCAATTAACCTTGCCTGTATAACATGAAATTTTATAAGTTTATCACTGTTAAAATACTCCGTGTTAAATGGCAGGAAAGGACTAAATTTGGCTCAAATTGGCAATGAGTCTGTCCTGCACTACCTGATCCAAAGATTGTTCTATGAAAGAAGTCAAAGTGTAGAATTCCAATTTTGCCAACTAAAGTTGGATTTGAGATGCACTCAATTTCAGAAAGTGTAAACAAGATGATAAATCTGTGCAAATGTAACTATAAATCTAACAGAAAGGGTTTCAAATGCAGTTAGAGATTCTGCTACATTATCAAAGATCAGTACCTGGAGACCACAAAGAAAATCTTCTGGTTTTGGTTCAGAATACACCATCCAATTGAATACGTATAATATATTGGACAAAGTGCTTGCACACAGAGCTGGGTGAGTTGCAGTGTGGAAATTGAGAACTTGACGGTTAGGAGGAAAATGGCTTATCACTAACTTAAAGGAATGGAGCCACAGAACCAAGGATTCTAAGGTAAATATCTATCCAGATATATATTTAACTTTGTGTTTGGTACCTTACTTGTTCTTGTTAAGATTGAGTAAATTATTTTGTCTTTTCTTTGGTCTGAAGTTCATATTTGATTCAAAAGAGTAAATGTATTCTCTCTCCACAAATGCTGTCAGATCTGCTGAGTTTCTTCAGCACTTGTTTATATTTCAGATTCTAGCATCCTCAGTATCTTGTGTTTATTATAGAAAAACAGCTGTGTAGTTGAAATCTAGTTAACTGTAATTATATAAATAATTACCATGTAACTGAGGAGTTTTTTTAGGTTTCTAGTTAGAAGTAAGAGATCACTTCAGGCGCAGAAGTAATGACCCTGTCTCTGAGCCAGAGGCTTGGGTTCATGTCCCACCTGCTCCAGAGGCACGTAATAACATCTCTGAACAGGGTGATTAACATGACCTGACCTAACCTAACTAGAAGTAAGGATAACTCTGGCCCAAAATCTGCAATACCCACACAATGGAACTTTAGGATGCCTCATGTTTCCCAGAGACCCATATTTTCCAACTGTGGGTATCAATACCTTGAAGGACTCCGGGTCCGAGACTGCACCTACTTGTTTTCTGTCCAATGAGAAAGAAGGTGTTACTGCGTCTATTCCAGGGAATGAAGTCCAACAACAGCAACTTATTTACATTGATCCTTTAATTAAACATCCCAACCACTTCACAGGAGCATTACAAAGCAAAATATGCCACCAAACGAGATAAGGAGATAATAGCTTGAATTAATATGGAAACCAGGTCTTTAAATTTATTTATGGCTAAGTTCAACTTTTGAGCACCAAGGGAGTCGAAGGTTACAAAACACAGACAGGAAAGTGGAACCCAGACCTTAACCAGATCAGTAATTATCTTACTAAATGGTGGGGCAGGCTCAAAAGGTTAAATGACTGAAGCCTACTTTTAAGTTTTGTGTTCCTATTCCAATGACCAAAGAGTTTGATGCGACTTTCAGGAGCAACTTAAAAGGAGACAAGTAAGACAGAGAGAGGCACATGTGTAAGAAGGAAATTTTGGGCGTAACCAGCTGAAGGTACAGCCACCAATGGTGGCACAACTTTGAATCCAAATGCTGAAAAAGCCAGATTTAGAGGACAGGGGAGATTGCGGGGCTGGAGATCACACAGATGAGAGGACATGAAGGGATTTGAAACAAAAAAGGATGAGAATTTTAACATTAATGCATTGTTTGACCTGAAATTAATGTAGGTCAAAGAACACAAAGACAGAAGGGGACAAGGACTCCTTGCAAGTTAGGTGATGGGCAGAGGATTCCAGTAGCAGGTGAGCTGAGACAAGAAGGAATTCATAGTATGTTACAGAGAAGGACAAAGGTGGTCTCAGTGATGATATGAATGAGGTCAGAAGTTTATTTCAAGATTAAACATGACTTTACGTTTGCTTCAGAGATAGTAGAACTGCAGATGCTGGAGAATCTGAGATAACAGGGTGTACAGCTAGATGAACACAGCAGGCCAAGCAGCATCAGAGGAGCAGGAAGGCTGACGTTTCGGGCCTAGAGGGTCTAGGCCCGAAACGTCAGC